CCCCCCCCCCCCCCCACTCTTCAAATCTGATCCGGTTTTCAAGTAATGATGGAATTTGGTAATTGTCTTTTTCAGATGTTCAGGTACTTCTATGCTACCAAGCTTATAGATGCTGGATACCACAAAAAGGTGAATGTCCTTAAACAATCTATAACAACATGATAGCAAACTACCAGCACCTCAATACATCTAGACACCCCACCAACAATCCAACAGCATTCTACTTTAACCCACCAAACAACTTATAACAATCTATGAAACACACTAAGTTAGATAGACGCCCCTTCTAACACCAATAACAGCCTATGAACACTACCCACGACCCATTGCTACACCACTTTCAAACTTCCTTCCAGCAACCCCAAACATTGTTCCATCAATATACCAAAATGACTTGACATAATCTTAACAAGCATGCTAGTGTGGACACCTTACCAAAAACCTACTGACATTTTTGACTACACTGTAGCCACTTACTGATCAAAATGGTATGTTATCAGTTTTGTTTGATTTTCTATTTGCATATATTTTCAGGCCCTGGATTATCTGCAGTGTGTTGGAGATCTGATGATGAAGCATCCTCACTCCTTCAATGAAACAATGAAGAAAAATGTCTACAGGGTAAGATCTCAACCTCTGTATGTGACCGACCACCTTGATGATATGATAACCTTCCTAATACAACCATCTCAGTCTGAAAAAGAGCTGCCTGCACTCGTTATACAACCACCTCTGTAAAGCGACCACTTTTCCAGTGCAACAGCAACCTTTATAACATGACAACCTTCACAATATGATAATCCCTGTAATCCAACTGTTCCATTTGTAATGCAATTCCACTTGATGGTGGGGACATTTTCATCTTTCAGACAACCGAACAGTTGGTAGGATACATGGAACAGTCTGGTACAAATGTGGAGTCGTTCGTTCAGTCTTGGCTAAAGAAATTCAACAATGTGATGGAAGGAAAAGATGTATGTGGATTACCTTTTTGCCGTACTATTTATTTATTTATATGTCATTATTCACAAAAATTTCACACACGGATATGATACCAACCATAACCATAACAATATATATTTATGTATTATATGTCATTATTAGAGCGGAATTTCACTTCCACAAGATTCTGAAACAGAAGAAGATGAAGAAGACTCCATGGCACAAAGCATGTCATACTTCAGTGGCTACGAACAGCCACCAACACAAGAGGAAAAATCATCTCCAGAATCAATCCCCTACACTCACAACACTGTGTCTCGCCAGGCCAGTCTACAGTCAACACACTCAGTACCATCTGTCCACTCGCTACAAACTCTAGATCTGTCTCAGCCAATGCCATCTGATATATACCAGCCCCATGAACCTATCGAGCACAAGGAGTCATTCTCAAGTCAAGGATATCAGGACCAGAATGATGGCCCTGTTGGTCAAGTGTATGAGACAAGGCAGCGAACTGAGAGTATTGATACATGGCAACAACCACAGCAACATCTTGGGAATGATATGTGGATGCCTGGTGTACAACAGAATAATAGTTGGATGCCTACCGCTAGTGCAGAGGAAATAGGTATGGGATTATAGAGAGGGGCGTAGCCAGGACTTCCCGGGGGGGGGGGGGGGGACAAATTCAAGGATCCGCCAGTTTGTTTGGGCCCCCAGAACGCCGAATCAAAAAGAGAAAACAAACCCGGAGGCGATTTTGTAGTCACAATGGGGCAGAGGAGGGGGTCCAAAAGTTAAAATTTACTGTATGTGTTCTAGGAAAGTCGCCATTTTCTTGTCACAAGGGGGGGGGGGGGGGGGGGACAAGGGGGAAGGAAGTCGTTCTCCCTGGCTTACCATAACTCAATATATATTTTTTTGCCAAAGGACGTGGAACATCACCAGAAGATGGCCAAACAACACCTGTGAATGATGCTCAATCATTTGAAGAGTTTTATCATCAAGCAAACCCCATGATGGGCAGGGGAGTCAACTGGGAAGATGATAGTGCAAAAACTCCAACATTAGCACCTTCTGATGTGAGTTTCTCATGTTCGCTCTATTTTTCTCTTGGTGATTGAATTATTGATTATTTTGTTATTTTTTTTCATTTCCTAGTCTTCGTTACCCAGCAAGGATGCATCAGGTAAGACCATTTTTTTCAGTTGTTACTTTTTTTTTTTTCCTCATCCTCCGTCCTTTCTTTTCTATCCCGACTCACCCATCCCATCCTCCCTTCAATCCTTCCTTTCTTCCCTCCCTCCTTCCAAGCCTCCCTCCTTCTAACCCTTGTAGCCCTTTGTTTCTTCCTTCTTTCCTAATTCCTTCATTCCTTCCTTCATTTCTTCATTCCTTTCTTCGTTTCTTCCTTCGTTCCTTCATTTCTTCCTTCGTTCCTTCCTTCCTTCGTTCATTCTTTTGTTTCTTTGTTCGTTCGTTCGTTCGTTCGTTCTTTCTTTCGTTCCTTCCTCCCTTCACTAATGAAGCATTCGTTGTTTTTTTGCAGAATCTCATGTCAATAAAGAAAAGAATGACACTAAAGCTGCTAATAAAAATAAATCAGCGGTAAGTCATCTGCATAAACAGCTTTCTTATTAGGATTGGATTACCTGTGGTTTTGTCGAGCAGATTGGTAATGTGTTAAGGGGCTGCATAGCGGTACCCCATCTATGGAGGGGGCTTATAATCACGAGGAAATTTCTGTTAGCAGATGAGTGGGCTTATAGGCAGATCTTTATTTACGTTTTTTCAAGTCTTGCCACACGACCATATATTTCTTTGTAAATCATACCACATTCGAAAACATTTTACTCCCAAATTATTGAACATATTACTCTCGAATTTTCAGTAGTTACTAAATAAGACGTTCTCTTTCGATTTCTGGAGTCGGTTTGGCTTGTAGCTTGATTTTTTTGTGATAATGAGGAAAAAACGTAAATAAAGATCGGCCTATAATCGGGTGGGCTTATAACATGAGGGAGTTTATGACTGGAATTCTTTGAGGTTCCGTACAGGTCATTCTCGCACTGATATCAATTATTTCATCTCTTCAGCAAAGCTCAGGGTTTTGGACTGGAATAACAGGTTTGGTAAAAACTTTAATTCCAAAAGGACCCAAAGAAGTGCATTTACCAGATGATAAAGAAAAACCAGTAAGTCAAAAACTGAGCTCAATAGACATTGATCCCAATCAAAGCCTGAAACGACCTCTTAGCAGTTCTAAGTCATGGCACGGCTAACTCACTGATCAAAGTCTGAAACAACCTCTGGGCTGATCAAAGTCAGGAGAGGGCTAAGTCAGATCAAATTTAAATTTAATGTTCAGGGTTTTTGGACGAAAATCTGAATGACAAAATATTAGATTTTATAAAAATGTCTATGAAATATTTATAAAGATGGTAAAGTTTTATATTCTATTGATTTGCAGATTATTACTTTATTAATGTTCATTAATTTAAATGTTAGATCTATTTTGATAAAGAGCTCAACAAATGGATCAACAAAGATGAAAATGAAGAGGTAATAAAGATATTTTTCAAGTGATTCGTGATGTGAATGTAAAATATGATAGAGTTTGTCGCAGAAATTCAAGTCTTTTTGTATAACACTTACGAAATACTCTTTTCATTTTATTCCAGGATAGAGCTCCTCCTCCACCACCCCCAACAGATGCAATGATCGGGGGAATGAGTGGAAATCCTTCTTTTGGTCCCCCTTCTCTTGGAACCCCTTCTCTTGGACCACGCCCTGGAGGTACGGAATGCACTTTTTACCTTTTTATTATTTGTTCCTTTTACGTTTAATACAGTATAGATCAATTATAAGCCATTCATAGTAACAGTTTTCCTGAGACGCCATCTTGGAAAAATGTCCCTTAAAATAGTCCAACAATGCACTATGTTCCCTGTTCGACCCAGGTTTTTCCACAACCTCAGAATGGGAAATAGAATTTTACTTTTGTGAGAATTAAAATTTATTGGTTTGTCTTCGGAATTGAGCATTTTTAGAAATTGCTGCAAGGGGTCATACATGTCACCAACTTATAGCAAATTTTCCAGGTAATCCAATGACAGGAACACCACAAGGCATGATGCCTTCAAACCCTATAATGCCGCAACCTGGAACAATGAACACCCAGGCTGAATCTGTACCAGACAATAGTCGTGGTGGACCTGGTTCTCCTGGTGGGCCAGAATCTACTGGTAACAACCAACAGCCACTTCCTGGAATGCAGACCCCTGGGAAGCCAGCAGGACCACCGTCTAAGTTTTCCAGGAAGGCACAGGGGCGTTTAGGTATGTTTTCAATTAGGAAAGCTTTTACTTCCCAAATTTGAAAGGATCGCTGGTACATGCAGTTGTTGGGTAAATATGCCTTTCTGATTAATAGTCACAGTGGCGGATCTAGGGGGGGGGGGGGGGGGGGGTGCAAGATTCCCCTATGAGATTCATAGTGCTTTAATAATGTTATTATATTTACATTAAAACTCAAATAGCATAGCGAGTTTTATTACAACAGGGGTGCCGAACACATTTCGCTCGCTTTTTTTCTATACGCCGTGTGTGGGACCTGAAACAACCATGCTCGCCTGCAGCAAATAATCGTCTCCCTAGCCCTTTTGTCTGCTATATCTCTCCACCACCTCAATCAATGCTACAACCTCCCCCCCTTTGAAAAAATCCTGGATCCGCCCCTGAGTCACGTGATAACGTCTAGTCACATGACTAGCTGGCTGGCATAAAATCTGATTTTTTTCCTTTCCAAAAAAACTTGCACAATTTTACTATCTAATACTATGATCAAACCCTTTTTTTTTAGTATGATTACCTTGGTGCTAATCTAAAAATCCAGACACATCCAATCATTTTACTGTCATTTATCGAGTGCATTTGGGTGCGAAGATGTTGAAAATTTCAGACATAATCGTCATATTTCACATTCGTTACGTGAAGTCGTTTCGATCGTTCTCTTCCAGGGTCACGTAACAAGTATGTTGATGTACTGAATCCAAACAAAGGTTCCCAGCCAGGCTCACAAGCCGTGCCATCGGCCTTGTTCCCGGTCATGCCGACTGGCGGTAGTTCCTTTCAAGGAACTTTTTTCGTTCCTTCTGCAGGTATGAAAAATGTCACCACCTTGAGAAATACTTTGGGCTTTACCTTCAATTGTAATAAAAGTTGGGTTTTGTGCTTTGAGGTCGTATAGCATTACAACATTCCCTTTCTTCATTCCTGTGGCCCTAACACGTGGGATCGCGTAGTGGTTTAACGTTCGCCTCTCGCTGTGGCCCAGATTCAAGCCATGGCCCCGGGCGGGATCATAATTATGAGTCGAGTTTGTTTGGTGTGTTCTCTTCATGGCCATGAGAGTTTTTCTCCGGGTTTCCTTTCTCCATAAGAAAAAACCAAAGGTCTCAACGGAGGCATCAGTGCCTTTGTTCGTTCGAGGATTTGGATTGCAAGCCAGCCGCTTTGGTTTGCTTGATAATATCGTTTATGACCTTTTTTTCCCCTTACAGCACCAGCAGATAACGATGCTGATAATTCTTTATCACAACCTCCAACAGACATACAATCAGGGTAAGAATAGGTTATTAACTATAGTATTTTTAATGGTCATTGAAACAGCTAGCCTCGCAGGTGGTGATTGTGCTGGCAATAAACTCGAGTTTCTAGTGCGCACTATCGCCCCAAGCCCTCGTCCCCACCCCACCCTGGATTAAATTCTCTTGCAGAAGAGGCAATAGATCCCTTGCATGTGAAGCAAAAGCAGCTCAATTTTGAGGACAAAACAAAAGAATTTCAATCTCCAATTGCTATGTCCTTCAAATTGAGCTGCATTCCAACGTGCTGCAAGTGGTCAGTAGGTTTAGCTTTTCGTTTTGTTTTACCAATGTTGTGAAGTAACTTCTCGTTTTTCGTTATTTGTTTACAGACAAGACAATCAACAACCCCCATCACCTACAGTAAGTAGAAAATACATCACTCGTTCTTACAAGTGCTTTCGAAAAGTCTAAGAGTACATAACTTCTGGCACCCGTTCTCTAGTTAGCCCAAACATTATCTTATCTTACTTCCTTTAGGCTTGGTCCTTTAATATCATGCATGTTTCGTACACTACTCTTTTAACACACTGACACTAACATTCCTTTGATGCTTGACTGTGTCTGACAAACTTATGACGGTGACATTTGACCTCAAGTTTGATGTCTAAGTACCACGAAATGGCATCACAGGTTAATAATATACKGTATACAGCTGTTAACTTCACTAGACCTCCCCCAGCGGGGATAAAACGCAGGGGGTAGGGGTAAGAGCGGCTGTGTACTGGCTAGTTAATATCACGCTCGCTCCTTGCATGTTCGTGTCACTGGAAAATGTACTGAGTTTTTGTATTATCCGGCTGAGACTGTAGTCAGTGATGGTAACCATCAAGATAATGAACGTTATGTGAGCTCTCATTTCGTGTCTGTAATAAGAAAGTAACTTAACAATGGCTTGTCGAACTAACATTTCGTATCCGTTTAACCTGCCAATCGCATGTGATGTCGCAAAAGGGTAATATTTAACACTATTAAAATTAACACGCTATTAATTGAATGCATTTATAAAACTTCGTCCATTTATCCATCCATTAACTCACTCATCCATCTGCCAGCCCATCCGCTCACTCGTCAATTCATCCCATCACATCCATCCATCCATTCGTCCATTCCCAAACCACTCATTCATTCACCCAACCATCCGCATTCATTCATTCATCTAAAAAGTTCATATTTAAATCATAACTACCCAACCATTCACTAACTCACCCATCCAGCCGTCAGTCCGTTTGTCAATTTGTCCATTCATCCCATCCCATCCCATCCCATCTCTTCCATCCCATCCCATCCCATCCCATCTCTTTCATCCATCACATCCACCCATCCCATCCCATCTCTTCCATCCATCCCATCCATCCATCCCATCCCATCCCATCTCTTCCATCCATCCACCCATCCCATCTCTTCCATCCACCCATTCCGGTCTTTCAAAAAATCTAAATCATAACATCTAAAATATAACCAATATTAATCTTTAAATTTTGATTCATATTTAACTTAAACTCAAGCATGCGTATTCCATTGAGTTTTTTTTTAAAAATCCTCATTGTTATAATGGGGATGCTATAACTACACAATGACATTGTTATGGAAACAAGATAACGATAAAGAACAAGATAATAATTCATAACATTTGAATGTATATTTGAGCTGATAAAGCCGAGGTGGTTGCTATGGAGACACTCGTTGTCATGGAGACGACACCAGCAAAACCCTGACATGATTTGATTCTTTCAGCATTCGCGTTCAAGCTCATTAGGCTCACAGAGTACAGTATCACTCGCTTCAGCTGAGGTTCGGAGCTATTTTGAGGGTCAGGTAGGGTCACTGCGCATGTGCAATCCAATTATCCAATCACCGTGTCCAAGTGCTATCCAGTCGTATCCATCTCGTTGTAACAAGTATTCCTGTGTTTTACTAATCTAAACATCTGCAATAGTGGTTAAAGGTCTTGGAGCTGTTGCTCTGAACGTTCGGGTTTTAAGTTATGACGTCATTCTAAAAACGAATTGATACAAATCCATTCAAATTTCGCCTTATTGCGGTCTCCGGTGGCTTTTGCTTGCAATAATTATACGGAAACTGCGAAGGAAGCTGCGATAGCGCTAAATATCGAGACTTGAATTTGCGGCTTACAAGAACAACCGTGGGGCCGATTAAAATCTATATTTAGGGTCTGAATTGATTGTGTAGGGGCGTGTTCAGGGTCTACAAGGAAGGGAGTAGGAAGAGGGGAGACTCTGAACTTGTCACTCAGAACACTAGGGTCTGTGGGAAGCTGTATCGGAGGCTGCGTATTAGATTCTACATTCACGATTGAAGCTTATGTAGCTGCAAAAGGTTTTGAAAAATAGATGTGTTCAGCTGAAGAAGGAGTGCGACTTGGTTCACCTTCGGTTTCACGTCGTCGTTTTTCGTCACACTTAAAAACCGAATTGCACTGGACTAAAATACTCTAACCAGAAACTAAAAACTAAACAGGCTTTACAACTAAACCTTAACTGATATCTTAAAGTAACAACCACGCGAGTTCTGTAAATGTTCTCTCTGCTGAAAACCTGTTTCATAAAAGCAATCGTTAAAATAAATTACGTCTTGGGTTTCATGTTATAAGGGGCTTGTGTTTTTTTTGTATAATACCGTGCTTTTATGTATGCGTTTTGGCGGGGGGGGGGGGGGGAGTGGGAGAATGTTGTTTATATATTGACTGTTACAACAAACGACTGAACGCTAAACCTCGTGAATGCTTTCAACTGCTCTTGTCTCTCATTTTGCTATTACTATCATCCCTCTTATTTTCTCTTCATTCATTCATTATTTTCTCAATTCTTGTTGTTTGACCGTGCAGGTCATACTTTTCTTTTTTTCTGAACTTTAAATTTTGCCTCTATATCTGTACGCATTGTTTATTTTAATCTTTCGTTGAATATTTTATTCAAAATTCAAGATCAAAATGGGTTGCCTGTGGTCTTGATAAACCACAGGGAACCCACATGAAATGAAATATGTATGTCAYAAAAAAGTCAAGTCGATGACCATGAAGATAACTAAGCTGATTTTTTCTCTGTCTAACTACAGGAACAAGAGGGARAGCAGTTTCAAGGAGCACCACCTTTACAACCAACATTTTTTGATCCCTCAAATTTCCAGCCTCAACCTCAAAGCCCCTCCATGGTTCGCCGAGGACGAGGTCGATACCCAGGAGGGTATAATAAATAATAAAATAAAATAATATTAAAATAATAATAATAATAGAGAATTATGGACCGGTATGACAGGATGAAATATTTACTCAGTTTTTAACTCATCACACCTTCATTTTTGAAACTTTTCAAGAAAGAAAAATAAATTGTTGAATATCAAGAAAATTATAAGGATTCTACCCTTGCTCTATTTATTTTGTTGGACTCAAAATGTGAAATGAAAAATAAAGATATTTCCAAAACCAACCAGGACGTTGTCTGGTGTTTATTTAGGCTGCATTCATAAAGTATGGCAGGGGGTGGGGGGAGGCAGGTGAA